CATTAGTTGAGGAGCAATTTCAATTACAATATCGAAAGACGATTTTTTAGTTAAATGCACGGGCCTCGAGTTTTGCTAAACTCTCAGAATCTCCTAATTAGGTAAAGAGTAGGGCCCCTTAGCTCCGCAATTAATAGCATTGGACCGCTTTAGACAGAAACACTTATTTCGTCTTTATAGAACCTTTAAAATATTAAAGAAATAAGCGTTTTAATAATAGAAGATGAAAATATTACTTCCCTTAAAAGGATTATAACTATATAAATATTATTACTATTAATAATCGACCCCTTATACTATAAGAACCTAAGTAATATAAATCTATCGGGCTTTATTAAATTAAAAGTTTCGGCCGGGAGGTTAGGCTAATAGTTTTTTTAATTACCCTCTCTTTACAGTTCTTCTAATTTATCTCTCTAGAGTAATAATAATATAAGAGTTAAAAGGGGCGTCTAATAGGATACCTTCGTTTATAATCTCTATTACTACTTCTAATACCTTTCTAATTAAATTTTTATATAGGGCGAACGCTTATAGCTTTTCAGCGTATATAACGGACGCTTTATAATAGCCTTCCGGAGAAGGGAATATTCCTTTTAATTATAAGTATAATATCACTATTTGTTGTATAATTCATAATAAATTAACATTTTATTTTTATTAGAAGAATAATTAACTTTACTAAAATAATTTCCTTCGTATTTAATCTTACTATAATAGGCGCAAATATCCTCCTAGTAATAGAATCTCGCTATGTATTTAATTCCTTTATATTTATAATATTACTAAACGTTATTTGAAGTTTAGAACGGTTTATAAAAGTATACGCTACCTTCTTAGAGAAAGAGGTTATTCTAGAAGAAATACACCGCCTGTAAGATAATAATTTCTATTAAAAACAAACCCTTACTCTCTCTATTCCTTCTCTTTTATAACTGAATTCTTATAATAGCCGCCTCCTCATGCTTATTCCTTATTGTATCTATTAAAATTTCCAATATAATATAATTATTAACGCCGTTTTGAAGTATACCCCGGACTAAAATACCTATAGTATTTATAGTAATAAAAATATTTTTATTGAAAATTTCGTTAGCCTACGCCTAATTTTACTAATATTAATTATATATAGATTTATTGAATATAATTATATAATCTCTTATTATCGATATTCCAATAGCCGTTGGCACTATTAAATTTAATTTCTTTTGGCTAAGGATTATTATTACAATTGTCTTCGTATTTTTCTTCGAACGGTTTGTAAATTCGATAGTAATTATTACTCCTTTGATAGTAAACTATTATTCGAAATTAAAAGGAATAAACTTTTCAATAATAATAATAGGTAATTATTAAAAGGGAATACTAATGTTGCTCGAGATAATTTTTGCTATAATATCGGCCTATTGTTTTAATACTTTTCAAATACCTTAGTTAATCTCTTTTAAAATATTTTTCCTTAAGTTATTAAAATCCCTTCTAATAATAAATTAATCGGTTCCAACCTTATTAGCCTCGGGTCGTATAAACCTACTTTTCTTAATTTGAATTTATAAACATTCGAAAAATAATTCTTAAATTTAGCGTCAATTCTTAGTTAAAATAATATTAGAATCTATAGACCTATTCGCTCTAATAATAAATATCCTTAATATTTTATTATTCTCTTCAATTTTATCTAAAGTCTTTATAATAAATATAACTTCAGGGTTATTATATACGGAGATTTTTACAAACGGGTTATAAATACTCTTTTCAAACCTACGAGCACCGCTATTAATAACCATCGGTAACGACGATATAACGCTATCGCTACGTTCATTATGGAATATTGTAAGAGACGTAAACGACCCTTCTAAATTGATTGCTGTTATTAATTTTCGGTTTGGAGCACTCCTCGACCAGAAATCGGCGTTTCCGGTTTCGGCGTCGTTTTTTTGATTTTATATATAGAAACTAGTTGAGTTATTAGAAATTAACCTAAAATTCGAATAGTCTGGGATTTTTATAAACGGCCGGATAAGTAGAGGTTATAAATTGAAATTTGGTTAAATATTTACAGCCTTTTATTAATTATAATTAAGATAATTAGTTAATAATCTTATTAACATTAGATGTAGTACAAGCGATACTTCTTTCCAAGAATATAAATAGGTTATTATTTTATAAGTAGTTATACGTTATTCTCTACCCGTGTCCTCCAACTAGCGAAGTTAGACTATATCAACCGGATTACCAGCCTGAGAAAAATATAATTATATAAAAGCGTAAGCTCTAATCAAACAATTAGAATTATTAAAAACGTAGTAATTAAAGCCATTAATAAAGTATAGTAGCGGTGGACTATACAAGCTGATAGATATTAATAGGACCCCGATTTTACAGTAGGCAATATACTTTTCATTATTAAAAAATATTAGTCTATCAATTACCTAGCGAAGAATTAGACTTTCTATTATTTAGGATTTTATATTATCTCAAGGTAATAAAAGGGTTTTTAAATCAATTCAAGCATCTAGCTTCTTAGTGTAGAAGAAGAGTATTTTATATAGAATATTTAGGGTAAACCTCTGCACACCCACCCCAAACCTACATACACCCAAAAACCAAGGAAATATAGGCCCGAGCAGCTAATAACACCTGACATTGTAAATACCGTTTTCACCCGCTAAATTTCGTCTTTCAAATGCACGCAACATTCCCTCTAACTAGGTCATTCCTTTCGCTCTTTTCAACACAGCCATTTGCACCACGTCTGCCATTGCACTACAATACTCAATACCCACCACTAGATACTTATTAGGAGGCGATAGCGAAGGAGTAGATAGCGGGAAAGGAGGAGGCGATAGGGGGGCTATTAAACTATTATTAATAGCCTCCTTTAACGAACTATCTAAATTATTAAATATTACTAAGTATTTGAGTCCTCGAGTATAGTTCTCTCAGTACTATGAGGGTAATACTAAATTGGCGCTATCGGATTTGCTATATTAGACTTACTAGGTCAGAAAGATTTTCAACATTACAAATTACGGTTTTTACAGCTAAAATAACGTATCTTATATAATAGCTAACATCCCTCCTTTTTGGGTGTATGTTGGTTTGAGGTGGGTGTGCGGAGGTTTACCTAATATTTAAGACGGGACTAAGGTAACCTATTACTATGGCAGGCCATGCGAAACCCGGTAGAAAAAAATATTATAAAAAACAACAAAGAGGAGTAGGAAGTATATAAAGTATTGTTATTAGAGATTAATAGTAGATTATAGTATTAAGTAAAGTAGAAAGGATAATATCTGGATTTTGAATAGTATTTTGCGGAACGATTTAAATATGTAGTAGAGAGATCAAAAGAATATTATAGTAAATATTTAAATACGATGGATCTTCCTGATTTTTTAGAATTATAGTTTAATATCAATACGAATATTTATTAGGAAGACAATATACTAATAGTAATTCGGAATCAAGTAATGTATAAAGGAAGGATTTAAAACGCTACTATTGAATTATAAATAGGGAAACTACATTTACTATTAATAAATTAGTAGCGTTTGTAGAATTGGATAGATAATATAATAGAATAGTTATATTCCTACTCCGAAGGTATTTAGTACGCTTCGAAAGTAAAACGTTGTAGGTTTAAAATAGGTTTTTATTAAAAGTTTCTTTTTTTCTTTTCTTTTCTTCTTATACTTTAATTACGAATGTCACCTCTAGGGTTGGGCCTTTAATAAAGGAGGGGGGTAATATTATAGCCTAGTACTATAATCTTCCAAAGGTTTAAGTTTACGTAATACCGTACTGCCCTTGTAGTATAGATATATAACTTATTAAGGGTCTTGAGCGCGTACACTTCAAAATCCGTGCAGCCAGCGCACCTTTGAACTTCTTCCCTTTCCCTCCTTAGCTTCAGTTTTATATTTAATTTGTACTGTATCCTTTCCTGCGCTGGCTTTCGCTCGTGGATATGCATGCTCTCACAAGCCCTATAATTTCTCTTTATTAAATTTCCTCTCTAAGCTTCGTATCCTCCGCTTTCTTAAAACCCGTAAGATTTTCCTATATACTTCGCGGTACTTAATACCTCGAAGTCCCTGCAAATTAGTATAGTTATTTCCGAAACTATTTCATATCTTTATACTAATCAGTTTAATATTATCTATAAAACTCCTTATCTCTACTATACCCTATAATTTATTATATATATTAGTTCCCCCTCTATATTGAGTACCGCTGACACTTTCCGCCAAGTTGTAACTAATAGAACTTACTTCGTTGCGCCTAAATACAAACCTCGCTATTACTCTTCTTTTTCTTTTCTTCCTATCTAACTTTTTATCCTAGCTGCCGATTCCCAGGTCGCGACCTGCTCTCTTACTACTAATAAGTATATACTAGACACCTCGCTTGGTTTCTGCAAAGTCCGCAACGCTGTTAAGTTCATACTAATAGTTACATAAAATCATTATAAAGGGACTAAATATTGGTATTATAAGATCTAAGAGTATTATAATTTATAAGGAGATTATTATATTTCTTTTGAAAGTTGTTAAACTTAACTTTTAAATTAATATAATTGAAATTCTTTTAACTAAAACTATTTTGAGCGTAGTTTAATAAATAGTAACGTTAGTAATACCCACAATTTTATAAAATATTCTATAAATATTACTTACATTAAAAGGTATATTTATAGAAAGAGTACTAAAATTAATAAAATCGTTAGTCTTAGTAACAGAAAAGAATAATATGTAGTTACTACTCTCTTTATAAAATATAAAAAAGGAAAGTAATTGTACAAAGTAATCTGTTATTCTTTAGATAAAGAGTACCTACCTTTTTAGAAGGAGCGAGCTATAATTATTATAATTATATTTAATGATTTTTAAGGAGTTAACCTCCCCGCACGCACCATAAACCTTGAGGTACGCACTTTTCCCCATCTAACAGCTGTTATGTAAGATATGTTATTTTGGCCGTAAAAATCGTGATTTGTAATGTCTCGAGGTGGGTCAACCTAGTGAATGCCCTATAGACCTTAGTCTTTATTAAGTAAGCAAACCTAACAACGCCAATTTGACAGCGCCAATCTGGTGATACTTTCGTAGTATTGAGAGGTTTTCAAACACTACTAGTCTAAATACTAATATCTAACAGCTTAGACAGTTCGTTAAATGAGCCCGTTAATAATATTTCAACAACCTCCTCTCTAGGCGTTGAGTGTAAATGGGTAGTACAATTGGGTAGTATAATTAAGTAGTGCAATTGGATAGTGCAATCGGCCGCCGTGTAAAGAAGAGTAAAAGAAACGACCAATTTAGAGGAATGTTAGGGCGCAATAGAATTACGAAATATAGTAAGTAAAAACGGGAATTATAATGTCAGGTATTACCAGCTGAACCGCCCCAGTTTTCTAGTGGAGGTACGTACCTCAAGGTTTCTAGTGCGTGCGGGGAGGTTAACTCTTTTTAAAGTACTAAACTTGGTAATTCGATGGACAAAACGATTCCTATATACGTACGCTAATTAAAAATCAATTGTATAATACAAAGAAAATAGCTTTAGGCTATAAACACAATAAATAAAAAGTACAATTAACGATCCTAAGTATAGGGTAGGTGGTAAATATAAATATACGTAATTATAGGAATGAGAAAGAGGGAGAAGTACAGCCAAATGCCCAGAAGACTAGCCTTATAAGAATAACTGCTGACGGATCTACAAAGCCGCGGCAAGCAGCGCTCGAACTAATTAGCTGCCGGTAATATAGAGCCGGTAGTGACGACAGCGACAGTAGTCTTAGAAGCTACTGTACGCTAGTACAAGGCATATAGGCTAACCCTGTGACAGTGGGTGCAAGTAAGTTCTTGGGGGGTGTAAGTAAGTAATCTCTTAATCTAACTCTTTTTCTTAGTTGTAAGAAGGAGGAGAAGGAGGAGGAGGGGGGGGGGGGGGGGGGGGGGTGTTAGTATAAGCCGATCTGGGCGTTAGGGTGGGAAAATTTGGGACCTGGATAGACTTACGGCAGTATGAAGGCCAAACTCTATTTTTCTCCACTTTCCAGCTGCCAACAGCCAACTCCAGTTACACCCACACTGGTATCTACAATCCAAATCCGTTTGCATACTCAATTCATTCTCATACCTATATCTCTTCTACTCCACCTCCTATCCTCTTCCCCAATCCCTTATATCCTCTTCTTCAATCCCTTATATTCTACTCCCCTATATTATATTTTATATCGACAATCCTAATTCTATTATAATACCTAATTCTAAACGATACTACATTACAGTTAATGAAAATACTATACTAACTTAGGGATTTCAATTTATATAAACGCTACTTGAACGGAGTACTAAAAATGTAGGAAGAGTATAATTCCGAATTGAACTATATTAAATTTACTGTTAAAATATTTATTAAATGTCTATACGTAGATATCTATCGTTTTTTAGACGGAAGAAAGGTACTTTATATTTAATTTATTTAGATTTTATTTAATTAAAATATATTTTGTATTAAAATTATCCTTAATTATTAGTCCGCAGCTTTAATTTCAAGAAATATTAGTATAATAACTAATTCGAAATATAGTACCCGAATTAGGAGCGGCGCAAGTAATTTATTAGAATTGTTTACTATTTATTTACTTAGAACTTTGAAAATAGGAATTATAGGAAATATCGGAAGTTCTAAAATTATAGACCTTTTACAAAGTACGTTACAAGCGGACGTAAAATTTTCGCAAGCGCTTACTTCTACTACTATATATTGTACTAGGGAAGGATATACACTATTTAATAAGGTATATAAATATAATATAAATAATAAATAGATATAAATTCAATTTAATATAATAATAGCGTACGAAGCGAATACGGTAGAGAAGATTGGCGAAATAACCTTTAGTAAAAGAGCAATTGAAATAGTATTAATAAGGGTTATCGAATAGATTAAATAAAAATTGTTGGACGAGTTGAGAATTTGTAGGAATAATATAGGCGAGGGCGATAGAATAAAGCTGGAGTAAAGTTATATAAATACGTAGTATTTTCTAAGTAATTCTTATATTTTACTATTCAGTTCAATAATTAACGTTGTATTGTATTTTTCCAAAAAAAAATTCTAAAAATACCTTTGAAAAAAAAAATCTAAAAAAAACCTTGTAAATAATTAAAAACCAGTTGAAAAAAATAAAAAACAAATAAAAATTTTTTTTTAAAAAAAATACTTTTTATGAAAAAAATTTTAAAAAATTATAAGATAAAAATCCCATTTTTTTCACTTTCAGAAATAAATAGAGTAATTTGATTTCCTATAAAAGAAGTATAATAAAGTTTTTAATACTTTATATTTATATAAAAATAAAGTAAATAAATATATATATATATATATATTAGACTTACTATATATATTATAGAATATTATATATATATATATAATGTATTTATAGATCTATATTATACTATATTAATAAAAGAATTTATTATATAAATAATATTTATTATATATATATACTTTATATTTTTAATTAAATTATGTTCAATTTTATTTAACTAAATAAATATAATTAAAATTCTACTATATATAATTCTAACTTTCGTAAAGAGTATAAGAGTAATTAGTACGGCCTAGGGTAGTTTAGAATACAAATATTATAATTATTCTAGTAGTTTAATTAGAGTAAATAAGGATTTCTTATTTATAAAGAAACATTATTATTTTTTTTTATTTCCTAAAATCGTTACCTTCTAAAATATATTTTTTAATTATTTTAATCTATATAATATTGAATAGAGTATCTTTATATTCCTTAGAGAATGAAGAATTAAATTAAATAAGTAGAATATTTAAGAAGTTTATAAAACGAAAGGTTGCCTTTAAAAAATAGAATTTATATAATTATTTCTATACTATATTATATTATTACTATTCTTCTACTACTATATTTAAGTTTAGTACTATTTTATTCATTTTTGAATATTTTATATATTTATAATAATTATATATATAATTAATTATAAATATATTATCCTTTGCTACTTAGAAGGTATTAAAAGAGGGTATTAAATTTATACTACTATAATATATTAAAAAGCTCGCGAAAACGTTGAAACGCGGGCACTTGGTCGACGACGACGATAAAATCATTTTCGACATTAGAATCGTATTTAGGACGTCCGATTACCCCCCTCTATAATATTGTATTAATTGTGTATTGAAGGCGTAAGTATTGAAGCGACCGGAAGTGTTAGGGGCGGGTTAGTATCGAGCCGATATGCGCCCGGAGCGACCGGAGTTAATACGGCGATAATAATACCCCGAGCTAATATAGCGCCGGCGGAAGCCCCGGAAACTTTAAACCTATTTTAGGAAGAACGAGAGAAGTTTATAAAAAAGGCTATAAATTTTCCTAGTATTAATAGTCTATTTATTATCCGAACGGCGTAGGTAGAAAATTTTTTCGAAATTGCGGTAGCTACTTTATGCGCCTACGGTTAAACCCTTTAGACTAATAATTATAATACTAAGTAATTCCGGAAAAATGTTAATAAATTAAAGAAAATAATTGCCGAAATTATAAAAATATAGAAGTCCCTTCCCCTAAAGTCCTAGACTATAATTACTATAGGCCCGAACGCCCTCCTTACGGGCCCGAAGAAACCCTACTTCGTTTTAATAAATATTTAAATTATTATTCTCCTCCGAACCGAACGGTACCTAATAATAAAATTAAATGAAAAGCCCCTACTAACTGATAAAAAGTAGCGTTTAATAATAAATATAATTAATATAATTAATAAAAAATACTTTAAGGCCGAAATTAAAATAATAATAAAGCTATACCTTAATAGAAATTATATAATAATATTTAATAAAGAAGGAAGACGCTAGTATTTTAAAAATTAGGTTTAAATAATATATATCTTCTATTAGGATACAATAATCGCTTTTAGAACGGTTTTAATAATAGCCCGTAACGTACTATAAATACTTATTAATAATTTTAAGTCCGAAGTATTAACAAAGAGTTTAACCGAAAAGAATAATATTAATAGTATTAAAGTAAGAGTATAGCGAAGGAAATATAAGAGTTAAAGGGGCTCCTTATTATTCGAAGTATTAATAATAAATAATAGCGTATATTTAATAAAGGACTTTCTCCTTTGGATAGGTAATACTTTCTATTATAAACCGTTCGAACGTAATATAATACCTTAATAGTACTATAATTATTAGGAATTCGGCTATTTAAGTTGGTTCTATACTAACGAGAAGGAGGCGCAGTACTTCTACTATATTAAAAAGAAATACTTAGGAGCGATAATAATAGAATTAGAAGCTAATTACCCTTCTAATTAATAGCTTAATTTTAGGAAGTACTTTCTTTATAACTATAAGGAATATACTATAATATTAAATAATTACCTTTTTATAAAAGTTATATATAGCCGCGCTTTAATAGTATTTATAGAGCGATTAAAAAAATATACCCTAAGATTTATATTAATTATTATTAACAATATACCAGCCCCGAATTAGAATTATTAAGAAATTACCTAAAGAATTCCTAAAATATTATAATAATTTTGCCCCGAAGTAGAAAATAGTAATATTAATATCCTTAACGCTATATTTAAGAACCTAGAAGCCTAATAGTAGGAGGTTCGCTCTATTAAGAGCTATAGTATTTATAAAAAGGAATATAAAGTATTTAAAACTAAATTCGATAGAGTTTACGTAAAATATTAACAATAAATTACTAATATAATTAATATTATACTAAAGATAAGCCTTAAACTATACTAGAAGTTTATTGAGCTCCGACTATCTACTTAATAATTTTAAAAATACTATATTAGAATATAATAAAGTTATATATTAGAATAAAAATTATATTCGAAATAGAAGACCGCTATAATATTATAATAATTTAGGAGCTAGGCCGGAGTACGGCTATAAGAGGTATATTTAATATTAAGGCGTCTTATTATTAGGCGCTAAATAGTATTAATTAAGGGCGCGTAATATTATACGTAAATAAACGTTTTATAACCAAATGGTAAAACTATAAATAAAGTAATAATTAGATAATAGTAAGATTCGGGGAAGGAATAAATAAAATAAGGGTATAGTCAGTCTATTTACTAATTTAGGACTCCGGCCCCGAATCGGATTAATAGACCCCCCTTAGAGAAATTATATTAAAATTATAAGAAAGGGATATAATAGTACGAAATATAAACCTTTATTATCCGAATTAGGATATATACGGAAAAGAGAATTAGAATAGCCAAATATTTTTAACGCTAGTAATTAATTATTAATTAACTCTAACTATATTATATAATAAACTAATATAGTTAGAAAATATTATAAGAAGCGAATTTAATAATATAATCGATTATATATAAATTACTAAATCGCTATATACTATATATCAAACGATAGAAGACGGCGCTCTTATTAAATTAAATTATTAAATATAGTTGGTAATTATCTATACTAAAGCTGTGGAAGAACCGATAGGAAGTAACGAAGGATATAATTAGGTACTTATAAATATTAGAAAAGTTAAAGAATTCATTAACGAATATATTATATTTCTATAAGTAATATTGATAATAAAAGAATTAAAGGAAGTAGTAAATCGGCTAATATTCTAATTAATTAAAATTGTAAACGAAGCGGTACTAAAGCGAAAGAAAAGAATTAGTAGAAAAGTAAATTAGTAGGATAGGGATGTAAGAAAAGTAATTAAATATATAAGGAGGATAATTCGCGTATAGAAATTAAGGAGGATATTAATAAGAAGGCGAAAATTAAACAAGGTAAAGTAGAAATAAAACGAAGCTATGTAGTTTATTCAAATAAAATAATAGTATATATTTATAAAGGACGTTTTAAAAAATCCGAGGAAATTATAAGCGTTAGAACAATAGGGAAGAATACGTAGCTACCTACTATCCGAACTATTTAAAATACTAGTATTATATTACAAAGGTAATAAAGAGGAATTAAAAAGTTATAATAATAAAATTGAAATTTTAGCGGAGAGGTTTATCCTAATAATCGATATACCGATAAATTACCTATTAAATTAATGTATAGAATAAAAGTCCTAACTAATGATAAATAATATAATTAATGCTAACGGTATAATAAAAACGATATAGTATATAGTGTTTAATAAAGTTCTAGGAAGTAATTAGATATTTAATAAATTCTTTAAAGTATATAGAAAATAATTAGTAGAAGTATTAATAATAATAATAATAAAAGGCTTTATATTTAAATTATTTTCGGTATAGTAGCGATATACTAAAATAGTAATATTAAAGAAACCCGGTAAAATAGTAGTGTAATAAAAGACTATAGGTGTGTAGAAGCCTATCGCCTTACTAAATTACATTAGAAAGGTATTAGAGGTTATAATTATAGAATAGTTCGCTTTTATAGCGGAGGAATATAAATTCTTACCTGAAGGTTAAATAGGGAACCGAAAAGGAAAATTAATAAAATTCATAATAAAAGTAATTATAGAGATAATATATATAATGTAAAAGTTAAGGGCGGTTATATTACTATTCCTTTTCAATTTTAAAGGGGTATTCAATTAGGTAAACTATAAGTAATTCTTCTATATTCTTTAAGGAAAAGGGTTATTATTATAACTCCTAAATTAAATTATAAACTTTTTATCGAATAGAATAAGTATTTTCTATTTTAATAGAATAATATTAAAGAAGTTTTATATAGCCGTAAGAGTATTATAAGGTTCCCCCCTCTCCCTAATCCTATTCCCCCTTTTTATTATTATATTATATAAAGTATTAAAGAAATTTAAAGGTGTAATAATAGTAGGTTTCGCGGACGATACTAATATCCTCGCCTTCTTAAGATTAATA